GGGGGGGGGGGGGGGGGGAGGGGCGCATTAAGTGCGCGAAAGTGCGAGCGATATCGAATCGCGACTTCGCGAATCACTCCAACGAGGGCCGAGGGACAATTGTCCGCGATGTGTCCTGATGATGAGCGATCACGACGTCGTGGGCGCGCATGTTGCAGATATATCGATCAACTCGGCGGGAGCAAACGCGCGATAACTCGGGCTTACGCGTATCGGCCGGTCGCTTTATTACGCTCGTTCGGATTTAACGATCGGCCATTATTGCTCGAGGATCTTGGTCAATGTGAACGTCGACCTTAATAGCCGCGAATTTTCTTTAGAGCGCTTTCCGAAGCGCACGAAGAGCTCTTAAAGAGCCCTCACCCTGCAATTAAATCGCGGAGGGATCGCGCTCTTCTCTTTCTCTCTCGTCGCGACTTTCACTAGCTTTTCTACAAATCACGGCGATAAATCAACGCCCGCGCGCACCGCCAGCAAATTAAATCTCGCTCGCTAAATTTAATTACAGTTCCACAGTAGTTAACCCCTTGGAGCACGGTAGTTTCACCGTGTGATCACCTATTTCCAAAGGATCTCTTGGGTTGTTATTCCAGACGTGTGACATGAATATTTTATTAAAAGCCGCATTTTGAAGATCCTGTGCCTTAAACTGTGGTTAAACTACACACGGCTTCCTCATACCAACCATCTTTTCTTCGTTTGTCCTAACACGAAGAAGGGTAGTGATAGTACGTAAGTTTATTGTCACCAACATTATATGTATATAGGATTTAACAAGGAAATACTTTTCTTGATCCTAACTTCTAATGATTGCTTCTCTATGCGACTTTGTAGTTACAAATGCCAAATATTTTTTTTGCTCAGCGGAAGAAACTGAGAAAAAGATGCGCGGCATTTGTAACTATAATCACACAGAGAGATAATTGTTACAAATTTTGGTCGAGCGTTTTCTCATTAAATTCTACGATAACGTTAGTAATAATAACCCTACTATTACCATTCCACTACAAAAAGTATGATTAAGGCCAAAAATAACTAATTTCAGTTGAATTAACCATTTCTTTTCTTTCAATGCAGCCGAGCAGGGGAGTGAAGTAACCTTGAGACGGAAAATCTCGAGGGCAGGTGTCACGAAGTCGTGTCGGACGATCGGGTCGCCGCCGTGAAATCACTGTCTAAGTCGGGCACACTCCATTGAGAGATCGGATCTGCCTAATCCGGCGTGTCCCTTTGATTGTTTATTTATGCACACCTGACGCGACCGGATTCGATTCTCCTGACAGTTTAGACCGTCATGCCTGTCATTGGGGCGGTGGGCCCGCGCATAATATTTAAGACGGCATTAGATAGCTGGCGACACTCCGGGTCTTTCCGATATCGCGCAATCGCGTGAGTTATACGCCGACGCTCGTTCGGAGCCGTTGCACCGTTCACGCCTTTTGTGATTTACGGCGAACTGGTTTCGCCTGACAAAATTTTGCACACTGTCTCGCGCTCGAAGCTGTTTCCCCGCGCGAGCCGAAAGACACCGACAAGAGGGAACGCGTGGCGAGCCGAAGAGAATAATTCTCAATACGAGAGATCATAAGACTGGCTCGATATCAGATATCTCGAACACTTTTCCGTCGAATTACGTTCGTTCACATTGAGCGCAAAATGCGACTATTTTCGCGGGAGCAATCGATGTGTCTGAGAGTCACGAATGCGTCTTAAATGTTCCCTGACGAGCGAGCAGTCGTTTCAGCTGTTATCAACAGTAGAGATGCGAAGTGATAGGCACATCAGCGAAAATCAATAAGGAGGAGTAACGCGACGGCGAGAGCGACGCGGATATTTTCTGCGCGCGAGACTCGATTAATCATGCGAATTATCGATCCACCGTAGTTTGCAGGCTTTTTATTCCCCTTTACTTTGTTTCCTTTCTCGCTCGCTCGTTATTAGATCTCCGATCGCGTTCCGTTTTCCTCCCACGCGTGCTTCTCTTCATCCCGTTGCCTGGTGTGACGAATCAGTTGGTCGATCTTCGAAAATCGGCGAGATGGCGGATAAGTTCCGTGGAAACTACCCACCGGGCGCGATTTCTCACGTTACCCCTCTTCCCCTCCTTCCCCTAGATCCGCCCGCGGATTTATTTCCCGAGTGTGCGGCGCTGTGGGCATCCCGGCGAATCGCGTCGCAAAATCAATATCTCGAGATACCGCCGGGGAATACCCGTGAAAACGATCGCGCCAGGATAGAGCTCGCGGATAGCTCCAAGTACGCGCATTGTAAGTGATATACGTCGATTTGCTTCCGTCGTACTGAAAATCCATCGTGCTAGGAAACAAGAGGAAGGAAGGAGAGTGATCATTCTTCTCGTATGAAAAATACGCTCGTAAAAGCGCACAATGTGCGAATCGCGATCACGCAGCGAAACGGAACGGGGCTTACTTTCTCCAACTCTTTTTTGTATATAAATAACAGTTTCATATAATGGCAATGCCAGTTACATTAATATCGCATTTTCGTTGTTACATTTCGTGAGACGGTGATACAATATATCCCATGGGATATTGGAATATTGATAAAAATGGTCGCACCGAGTCGCGAACGTCGGCTCCGCAATTTATCTTTCCAAAGTGGAGCGGCACAAAAACGTCGTTAAAATGCTTCGTACTAAAAATTCCGCTTTGACCGCTCTTTTTCTTTGTAAATGCAGGACCGAAGATAACAAGACTGAAACGACCCTTTTTGCGTCGCAACTGTGCGGCTAATTGAACGGGCGAACGGGTAAAAGCGGCCGGCCAAAACGGGCCGCCCGTACGCGCGCGCGTCTGAATTTATAATTTAACGCGTTGCACTTAGCTGCGCTGAGGAAATTGTGCTCGATATTGATTAATTGGAGTCGCGTTTATACGGCGAGAAGGCGGAAACCCGCCGCCGGTGTAATCCGGAAATTAATAAGTCCGCGCGCGAGACTCGGAACCGAGCCGTTCGCGATCGCGAGCAAAGCTGAGGGATCGGCTGCATTCAAAAGGATGGTTCTGCAGTCGTAACAAAAATTATCTGGATGCGAGAAGTTGCATAGAATGGATGTACAGAGGATTACATATATGTCTAGTCATTCCTTAGCTACGTGTGTGTCCTAATTGAAAGATATCGCGTGTATTTAATCGATACAGATGATAGAATTTCTTTCTGAACTATTTGGAAGATTTAGCAAGGAAGTTTCTCTGTGGCGCCTATTCAGATTAAGGAGACTGGAGGGTCAGATTGCCTGAAAATGGTGCTTGTTTTTTCACAATTTTTGATAACAAACCACTGACAAACTCGTGAAAATATTTAATTTTGAAATATTAATTTTTTTATTATAAAAAAACTGAAAATTTATAAAATATAACTTTATAAAAAAACTGAAAATGATATTCCATTAAGATATTTGCAGTTTTGTTAACTTTTACTCAATTTCTATCATAGTGATTCACACGATAACGACAAGCTTACGGAAATTTTCTACTTAAAATTCAGCTTAATTGAACCACCGAGAGTCAAGATATTAAAATAATGACTTTGAAAAGAAAAACGAAATATATTTTAACTACATGTACCATACTTATATTGAGTATTATATTTGATCATCAAAATTATATTTTTCTTCTCTTTATATATTGTATAAATACACGTGAAAATAACACTTTCGCATATTCATTCAGTTTTGTCATAAAAAATTGTGAAAAAACACAAGCACGATTTTCAGACAATCTGACCTTCCAATTTTTCCCTTAAAATCAGATTAATAATTGGTAGTGGGACCTAAATTCGCGCATGTAGAATATCGCTAGAACGCTGCTGCACACAAATTCTACGTACCACGGACGATTTTTTCGCAGAATATAAAAAAACTGATAAATTTTAACTGCGATATTTAGAATTTTACCTGAAGCAGCACAACATTTCTTTTGAGCGTGGAGGAATCGCGGCGGCGGATCCTGCGGATAGTGCACGCCTAATAATAATTTCGTGTCGAGATTTAATAAGAG